CAGTAAATGGTAAGAAAACGTTTAGAAAACGATCCGTAAACGGTGAAAAAACGATTTATTTAAGATCCTAAAACGTTACAAGTTTTAGGTTCTGAAAACGGTCCGTTTACGGCACGTTAACTTACCGTTAACGACCAGTTAACGGGCCGTTAACGGTGCCGTTTTCTTGGACCTGGGCAGAGACTAGACAAGTTCAAATAGGCTAAATTGGCTAACTCCCACCCCTAAATGCGACACCGTTTTTGTCCGTGTTGTTTTCTCTCAAAGTCTGACATCATGAAGATGTGGTAGATGTCTTGTTTTTTATATCGAATTGTGCTCTACAAAATACAGTCAGGGACGCCGCGACAAGAGAAGTAAAGAGGGGAGAAATTAAGAGAAAAACTCTGAGCTCCGATCTGATGCTGCCCAATGAGCAAGCGTTGATGGTTCTCGGTTTAAGAGTAAACGTCAACACATTTTCCCTTTTTATGTTTATGAGAAAATCTGCTACGACTGGCATTTTGAAAGCTTTGCATTCTTCTTGCTCTCTTTCACTAACTTTGCCTAAATCCTGCGGCATAAACGCTTGATTCTTCGTATCAAAACGCTTTTGTACGCTGAGTTTACTTCCAAAGTCAAAGTTTGAGGCTCAGGTTTTGACGATGAATCAGCACGTTTTACTCTTAAATTTAAAAGAGTTATGCCTTAGAGCCTTTTTATGTCTCAGAAGGTTTTGTATATCAAAACTTATGTATGTTTAGACAAATCCGATATTCGCTCTCATTTTTAAAATTTTTCGATGTACTCCAAAATCCCTGAAAAAAGAAATCGAATAGGAAAACTAGAATCTTCTTAATGCTGGACTTTACAAAGCACAGTTCGATCTCAAATACAAGACGTTTGCTATTTTTTCATAATGAACTTATCAAACGTCGAAAGAAAAATAACACAAAAGTAGCGTCGCATTCACTCTTGCGGAGTGGGAGTTAGCCGTACAAGTGCTTTTTTTCGTAATACTTGAAAAGTATTAGAACACAGAAGTAAATGTACATATAAGTATCCAGCTCTAGTGAAGGCTGCTCAAGAATTACAGCTGAGTCAAACTTCGTCGGAAGTTGAGACTGGTTGACATTGTATGCGCTGAAAGAGACTAGCGTCAGGAATTTGAGCGTAATACTAACTGGGAACACTAGAACAATTGATTGCTCGAAATTATGGCTCACTTTTGACTAAACAAAATACCAAAATTATTTTGACTATCTTTAGGAGTTTCTGACATGTCTCAAAGAAGGTATCCTTCAACAGTCAAAGAAAAGGCGTTCTCCAACAACGAGCTACAGTTAGTGATACAAATCAAAGAAGCATTAAAAGAAAAACTTTTCGATAGCTTTCCAGATTTTTATTGTCCTATTACTCACGATGTTTTTCAAAATCCAGTTATAACCGAAGATGGCATTACTTATGAAAAACATGCGATAGAAGATTGGTTTAGTACATGCAAATCGCAAAATAAGCCTTTAACAAGCCCTAAAACAAATCAGATATTATCTTCTGTTAAGTTTTCTTATTAAAGAGGATCGATTTTTCAACTCAAATTATGCATTCTAAGCTCACACCCAAAAAATAGCTTCTTCTACCTAAAAATCATAATGCTGATCTTTTAAATTAACAAAAAGCTTCTTTTCTTTTTAACTTTTCGAAATTAATAAATGACCAATCTTTCGAACCCTCAGTGCCGAGTCTAAGAGTCATTCCTAATCATTTCTTTGGATTTCTAGGTTTTCGGATATGCTCCACAAAATCAGATTAGTTGGAAAAAATCTCAGATGTTGATTGAGCATGCTTTTGCGGCAGCCGGTCGTATTTCTCGTGCAATGACTCCTAAAGTTACAATGAACACACTACAAGTGTTTGGAAACCATGTTACCTGGTTCTACTACAGGAGCATTATTGCCGATAGTAATTGTGGATAATGATTGCGTCGTAGGCAAAACCGATGATAAAGCTTGATCTAAACACAAATAAAAAGACGTACTTTTTGTGCCATTTACTTTGAAAGACGAGCACCTTTTTGTACATGAGCATGCAAACTGAGAACTTCTCCAGCGTATTGCTTCCGAAAGAGTGGAGTTCATAGATTACAAGTGTTTTACACTATTCTTACCTAATCCTGTTGGAACATCGTCACTAGTGATATTGATCATCAATGGTAATCAAATTGTAGCACAGGCACAAAGGAAGGTAATTCTTGATCTAAACAACAAGATAAATAAATAATTTGCTTAATGAATGATTTTTGGATGATGTTCAAAAAAGAAATTATATCTTGTCCAAAACAAATAGACGCTTCAACATTCAACATGTTAGCTTTTTTATTAAAAAACTTGATTTTTCAACTCAAATCATCTATTCTAATTTGAAACCCAAAAGCAGTTTCTTTTGCTTAAAAATCTATAATTCTTGCCTTCCTACGCAGCAAGGCCTTTTATTCTTGTTGAAAAAGAGAGTTTTACCTGGTCTAAATCAAAGGATAAACACATCAAAAGCGCGTAGCACGGAAACTTACCCAGTCTTATCGTAACATTAGAGTCAGCAGCATTCATTGTTGATGCTGATGTTGAGAGAAATTCAGCCACAGATATGCACAACGATGATTCTGGATCTATAACACAAAAATAACACTTGATCATCGATATGAACATGGCTATTGCCCATGTTTCATTTGAAAACCGGGCACTTTTCGCGACGATACCAGAATGCTGTGAACAATAGTAGCCTCCATATTTTGTCACCTGTTTTATAGAGTATAGGGAAAACCTCACAAATATCACATTTTTCTCTCTGTAGTTAAACTGCCGACAAAAACGTTTTTGATCCTGTGAACGAAGTTAGAATACCTATCGTTGTTGTGCTATGTCGAGATAACGGTAATGTAGACGAGTTTGCTTGTTTTTACATAGCTTCAGCCATTGTTTGTTGATCAGGCGTTAATATAGACAATAACATTTTTTTTGATCTAGCTGTGTTGGTGTGGCAATTGTTGATGTAGAATCCACAGATTTGTCAGGTAAATGGATTTGATCGGTTAGTTGCGATGATGTTATATCTGATATTTTTAACAATGGGTCACTGTCTATCTTTGTTGTTGTACATGTTGTGGTTATAGCGTTTGCCACAGAGAAATTCGATGATGCTATCTGGTCTAAAACACCAAAAAAGACAACTTAGAAGACCTACCCTTTATCAGATTCACTTTTAAAAACGAAAAGCAAATTTACTAATAAAAATTTGAATAGAAATCCCGGAAAAAGTCGACTTTTGTAAGTTTGAGAAATACGGATTTTTGAAAATTAAGCATTTAAATGGTTAATTACCGGAATACAACTACACATTTATTAGAATAATTGTGGGATAAACTTCCATCAAAAACCAATAAAACTTTTATTTATAAACTTCCAGCCCTCTATCACCCTATCCTAGATAAGAACTCTTACAACGTCTACCTGCTCAAGGTTGTCAGAACATTCTCAGCTAATAATAGTCTGGTTAAACGTAAATATTTGTGAAGTAAATCCGATTTACCGGTTCGTGCTGGATCATGATTGATATCACTGTTACACATCGACAATGATAATATGGCTGGTGCTGCTACATTGAAAACCGACGTTGACGCCTTCAATATATACCTTTTTTCACCGTTTACATTTGTTTCTTCAATTTCATTATTACTCAAGAGTTCTTCTATTTCAGTATTCAACTCACTTTCATATTTATGCAATTCACTAACATACTCGGAATGACGACCAAAAAAAGAACGAGCTACTGGCGGCAATAAAGTTGTTGCTGGTTTCGACGATGTTTCATAGACTGATTCATATTGTTGCAATGCAACATTGTACTTTTTTAAATTTTGTTCAAAATTATCACGTTCTGCTTGACTTTGCGGTACAATTGTTTTCATATAGGATATTCTTGTTTTTTTATGTGCATTCATCAACCAGCTGTCTTGTCGTATGAAGCCGTCGGCAATTAATTTATCCAACGCCGCATCAGCCAGATGATGATTATTGTGAAATGGACCGTTTTTATTGGTTGATGGATCTTTATTCGTCGATATTGCTTTTGTAAATAAATTATGCGGAACTAATAATATTAATTTTTCTTGTATTCCTTCTATTATTTTTTCGTTTTGAACACATTGTTTTTCTATTAGAAATTGATTGATTTTATCCTCATCCAAATTAAATAATGTGAGTGATGTACTAAATAAATATTCGTACCACAACCAGACATCGACACAGGTTGATTTTTCAATATATAAAATCAGCATATTCTTGTCATTTAAGTTTGAATAAAACATTTGTTCAATGCGTAGTTGAACTAAATCGATGAACGTACGATCAATAACACGATCCACACGATAACCATCGTCGAAATTAATATTGTCTCTTACTTGTTCCAATACGGTCATTGAATTTCGATACAATTGCAATAAAGCACAATATCTTGGATGTATTTCAGCTGTTTTTGCATAAAAATCTTATCTTGATAAAAAATATGCCTTGGTAATGTACCACCTCTTATTGCCGCTATATGATCAATCCCTTTATTGAATGTAAAATTATATGCACTTGTTTCGATTATTTCAGCACTGCCATCTGATTCTAAAATCAGATCGTGCTCGATTCAGTACAACAGAATAATTGAAGTAAAAATCTCCGGTGGATACACAACTTTTTCGCAATAACCGAAGAACATTTACCATGTGCACAAATTGCCTACACACAAGAATGCAGATAAGGATCACATACTTAGGATGGGAAGCAGTTTGCTAATGAAGAAAGGTTTTATAAATTTTGTATGAAACAGGTTTTTTAAAAACTTTTGAGGTTTCTTCGCTCAACACAACTTTTGTGAAACGCCAGGTGAAAGTGTGTTCATGTTTACGAAGGGACAAAATTACTTTTGGTCATTTTTGTCTCAAAAAAATAATTTTTACCCAGGAATAATAGTAACTATAAAAAAACTTCCATATACCGAAAATATTATACTTTTGTCGTCTATAGCAGTGTACGAGCCCGAAGAGACATTGAAAAACTTACGATTAAAAAGCCTTTCCTTCTCAACCAACCATATTTTTCTTATCTTTGTACCAGTTTTTAAATCCCTTATTTCTAGCAATTGAAAATACAAAACATTCTATCATATGAGAAATCTGAATTACTCGATTAATTCCATAATATTTTGTTAGTTCATCTAATTTTTGACTGAAAGTCACTATTTGTGAATAGCAATTAATTTCGACGTTAAATATAGGAAAAGAAAATTGTTTTCTAACCATATTATTTAAAGAATAATTAAGAATACTACTAGCATTTTCTTGAATAAACTTTAATCCTTTTAAATCTTTAGATAAAAGTTCTTGAAAATTATTGTGACGAAATGATATCTTTTTAATAAATTTTTCCTTTTTATCTTCTTTATATAATTCTAGATTACTATTTTCGATTCTTTGTTGAACATAGAATAGATAATTTGTTATCATTTCTTTTTTAATTTCCTGCTCATTTATAACATCATATGCAACTTTGTTGCACATTTCATGGAGTAAAAATTGATGTTTTAGTCGATTTACTCTGTCTCTCACGTCTAACTTTCGATATTCTTCAAAAGTACCCACTAATAACTTAAACTGATATTCACAAAGTAGTTTTCTGTATAAGACTTTTGCTTCTTGAATATTAAAGAACTTTGTCAATAAATAATAGAAAACATTTTTTACAAGTGTCCAAGACAAACTAAAAAATCCTTTCTCCTCCACGTTGACAAAAAAATCTCTTTCATTTCTTAAACTTCCTTCTCCACCTAGTGTGGATAAAACAATCTCGTAAAGATAGCTCCATTCATAACTAGTACTCGGTTGAACAGTTATATGTGTTATAAGAGCCATTAAAAAATTAAAAATCGACGGTATTTTGCTAATTTCCAGACCGAAATTAATTGTATCTTTTGTAAATTCACAAAGCGACTGCTGATAAGGACTTATCGGATCTATCTGAATTAATTTTTTAAATTCTTTGGTTTCACTTTCAATAATAGAAGCAGCAGAATAGAGGCCAGTATAATTTTCTTCTAACATCAGGATGTGAGAAAAATCTTTTCTTTTAAAATTTAACTTTGCAAAACCACTTGGTAAAATACATATATTTTCTAGCGAGTGAAGTC